GAGGCCTGAACACAGCACGACACACAACTGTACTGAAACTGTTTAACACACTGTCTCCCTCACACACTGAGGCCTGAACCCAGAATGACACACAACTGTACTGAAACTGTTTAACACACTCTCTCACACACTGAGGCCTGAACACAGTACAACACACAGCTGTACTGAAACTGTTTAACACACTTGAACAGTGCAGTCACTGCCTGTCTGTACCCCTGTGAGCTGCTGGGCTCTGTAGTTGCGTCCACAGACTGCAGCTCCCCTGACTGTCCAGTGGGGGCGCCCTCCTCCCTCTCAGAAAGCTTCCTCTTCCTGCTCCTGCTCCTGGGGGGGCAGGCTCTGGGCTCCCGGCTGTCTGCTAGGCGAGGTGGTAAGGCACAGAGAGGAAAGGAGTGATACCACACCACCATATTATAATAATAATTAATAATTAATAATTGCTTACACTTATATAGCGCTTTTCTGGACACTCCACTCAAAGTGCCTTACAGCTAATGGGGACTCCCGCCACCACCACCAATGTGCAGCCCCACCTGGATGATGCGACGGCAGCCATAGTGCGCCAGAACGCTCACCACACACCAGCTATCAGTGGGGAGCAGAGCAGCGTAATGAAGCCAATTCCCCCAGCCGGCAGAGGAATCCTACTCCATTGGGCCCCTGAGCAAGGCCCTTAACCCCAACTGCTCCAGGGGCGCCGTACAATGGCAGACCCTGCGCTTTGACCTCAAGCTTCTAATATTACCATTTAATATTGCCATAATATTACACTGTACATTAACTGGTTTGACAGATGCTTTTATCCCAACCTAATCACAGTATAGAGAAACCTCCTTGTGAATTTAGCATCCATCCACCCACCCCAAGAAAACTGCTGATCCCTGGAAAAGTGAGGGATATCCGGACCCCAAGACAGAACGACACCAGTCCAGCACAGACACACCAGGGGCAGCCCAGAGCCCCCAGTCCAGCACAGACACACCAGGGGCAGCCCAGAGACCCCGGTCCAGCACAGACACACCAGGGGCAGTTCAGAGCCCCCAGTCCAGCACAGACACACCAGGGGCAGTTGAGAGCCCCCAGTCCAGCACAGACACACCAGGGGCAGTTCAGAGCCCCCAGTCCAGCAAAGACACACCAGGGGCAGCCCAGAGTCCCCAGTGAACTAGGTCAGCATCACAGCCTGAGGAACAGTGAGCCTGTCTCCCAATAATGCTCCATATGTTTTTATATGTAAACATCTTATGATTGTGGCTTTATTGTAAATGTCTGTAGATTTTGTTTTTGTTTTATGCTAACTGTATTTGTTTTGCATTGGCAACACTGATTGTACTCAGCGGTCATGCCCACAAAGCACCTTGAATTGAATTGAATGTCTCTGGGAGGAAACTGGAGCAGCTGGAGAAAAACCCCACAGACACAGGGAAACCATGCAAACTCCGCACAGAAGGCACCCCAGTGGAGAATCGAGGCCAGGACCCGCAGTGCTGCTGCAGCAGCCCAACAGAGTTCCCCTTCAGTCAAACTTCTCTGTGTGACAGCAGGCTGGCAGCCGTTCCCTCCTCTCTTCTCCCGGCCTGTCTGACAGGTTCTCTCACAGGACCGCCTGTCTGAACCCCTGGCTGGAGGCTGTTGAACAGGAACAGGCTGCGCTGTTCGGAGGGCTGACATACAGGATGGGCGTGTACCCTGCTGAATCGCGACAGCGGTGCTGCACAGCTCGGTAAGGTCAAGTAACACAGAGGGCTGGCATGATGAGGCCGGTTCTGTCCGAGCGGGTCTCGAATGATGTCGAACATAGGAATAAAACCCCTCAGACTCTCTCCTACCTGCGGCCTGTCTCCTGGGCATCGTGGCGTCGACCCGTGTCTGAGAGTCACTAAAGGGGAGACAAGGCGCCGGTCAGTATCCAGCACACCGCCGTGCCCACCCCAGCCTCTGTTGACACGGCCGGTTTGTTCATATTTCTGTATTTCTGTTAATGTCACCTCGCTGGGCGCCGCTCCGCTCTCCCCGCCGCGCCAACCGCCGTCCGCGCCCCTTGTGCCCGCGAGCCCCCCGCCGCCCGAGGGAAGACCGGCGTATCCCAGCATGCAGCGCGCTGGGGCTGCGGGTCAGAGAGCGGCTCTGTTGAAGCCACCTTCAATGAAAAGGCTTTAATTTAAAATAAAAAAGGCTTCCAAACTACACAGAGGCGCTTTATTTTATTTCTATATTCCCTTTAATCCCAAACACATACGGAAACAGAATACTTAGGTTTCGTAAGAACCCGGCTATGCTGTTGGAAGACGGCGGTTAGCTGTAGAGGAGCGGAAAACCGAATAAAGCTATACGGAGTAGACAAACAGGTACAGCGTGGTTATGAAAATAATTCGCTTTTACTTTATATCTATTAAACGTTTCCGTCCTTGTACTGTACATAGATAAGCCTCATGATTCGTCACTCCTCTCTGTTCTTGGGTTCATGATTAGGATTTAGCACTTCAGATTGCCACCGAGGTTTCTGAACCGTCAGTTAAGCGGGAACGGTTAACATCTGTTCCTGCACCAGAACATCGAACCGGTCCATATCGTTCCGGGCTGAAACTGTACAGTATCTATTGGCGCCATTCTTTACGACAGTGAGGGCACAAGCGGGCGCATTTCTGTGGCGTCGGGTGCTGGCATGTGCCGTAAAGTGTCGGGGGGGCTCTGTTGCTTGGAGACGCAGACGGAGCTAGAGGGAAGTAGGAAGAGAGTCGCAGCGGCTGGAGGTCGGATGTAATGGTAATAATGTTGTTTATGTCGCCAGAAATACAGCGCGATAGCAATTAATAAGCCCTTTGAGTCGATAAACTCCTCTGGCGACAGCAGCATACCGGGGACCAGGACAGCCACAGGCCGTCCCTGAGGAGAGCGCGACACACAGAGTTTCCCTTGGCTTTAACCGTGACAGCGCCGTGAAGCCGTGACCTGTATGCAGGGCTGTTGCCACTCGAGACTATTACCTGCCGCAGCTGTCTGTAAGCGGAAGAGTAAAGTGTATTCTGAGCTCCTGCGTGTGCTGTCGTGACCGTTCCCCGCAGACCGCGGACCTGTTCATGCAGTCCGGAGGGGGGTCTCTGGCGGCTGCTGTCGCTGTGCGTGTCGCCCAGAGCCGGTGTGTGAGGGTCTCTCCGTCGTGTCCTGACACCTGTCTCGACTTGCAGAGCCGCTGGCGGGGGTGACGTCAGCGCTATATCGCGATTCAGACCGGAGTTTCTGTCGGCATGAGTCGCAGTCGGCCCGCTCGAAGCAGGGGACAGGGAGCCGCGGCAGCCAGACAGGTGAACCTGCAGGACGGGCCAGCCCGCTGCTTCCAGAGCCTCTCTCTCTCTC